ATGACCATTTTTCACATGACCTTTGCAGCATCCCTGTGGTCACATGATCAAAATTCAGGCGCTTGGCAACTGACTCATATTTATGACCATTGCAGTGTCCCAGGGTCATATGATCCCCTTTTGCGACCTTCTGATAAGTGACAATCAATGGGGAAGCCAGATTCATTTAACAGCCATGTTACTAACAACAACTGAAGCGAGTCACTTAACAACTGTGGCAAGAAAGGTCATAAAATGGGGCAAACGTCACCTAACAACTGTCTCACTTATCAACAGAAATTTTGGGCTTGGTTGTGGTGTAAGTCAAGGACTACCTGTAATTGAATTAACCCACTTTGGGTTTTACGTAACATAGACAGTCACAAACAGGCTTTCAGGTTCAAAGACATGGTCTTGTGCAATTCATCTATAGACAGAGAGATGACTGTGCTGTCCCAGTCTGGAAGCGCAGAGTCAATGGGATCACTGGAAATCCATTGTTGTGATAATTGTGGGCATTATTCTATGACACCATTCACAACTTTCAGGTTTTGTCTTTGGATCCTGTGGAAGCTTCGTAACCTAGTTCTCTTGCCTGGATGTCACAGTGATGTAGGATTTCCTCACAGTACCTTGGTAGTCCTTGTGTGGATGACCTTGGAGGTCTCTTCCCCAGTCTCTGGTATACCATAGAGCAGAGGTGGGATATTATGGCAGCTTTATGACTTGTGGACTTCAACTCCCAGAATTCTTGAGCCAGCAAAGCTGGTTTGGGAATTCTGGAAGTTGAAGTCCACAAGTCATAAGAGGGCCATAGTTCTCCACCCCTGACATAGAGCAACTGGCAAGTTATCCATTTTGATGACAGGACCCACCTACCACATCAGGGCTCTGAAGATCAGGGACTCAATGCTGGTGGATTGCAATCCAGGACCTCCAGCGTATGGACATGGTCTTGCCAATAAAACCCAAGGATGGTGCTCCATCGCATAATGGCATAATATACTAACTATGATAATAAAATCACATAATAAATATAAAACACATAACATATATTGAGTTTGGAGAAGACAATGTTGGGTGTAGACTTCTGAACTTGCTTTCATATTTTGGGGGGGTGGGGGTAAGTGAAATAAGGGAAGGATGTATGAAAAATGGTGGGTTCACCTTAGCAACCCAGCAGATTTCAAATGGTCATCAAGAATAAATTCCTAATAGAGCAGGGGTGTCAAACTGCCGGCCTGCGGGCCGGTTGCATCATACGGAGGCCATATCCACCCCAGCTCTGGCAATGCAAAAAAAGTCACGATACGTTGCAACATGTCACATGACGTGGCGAGTTTGACAACCATGTAGTAGAAGTACCAAACCATAGGTGCTGTGCTCTTGGCAGGTAACACCTACCAACAACAGCTGCCTGACAATAGAACAGCCTAACACAGCAGATGGTATACTTTGCAAACATTTGAGGACAGGCTGGATGGCCATCTGTCAGCGATGCTGCAATAGGGACAGAGAGTTGGGACAAATAATAACCAAGGTCCCTTTGTGTCCAAAATTCTCTGCAAATAATAAGCAATGTTGGAGTTTAGCTATGTGCTATATGAACTCAACCACAGTAGGTTAGGTTTATATTTTAGCACATAAAACACACAAACACCCATATGTGTACATAGAAATTATCCTTAACTTACATCATTTGTTTAGTGCAGGGGTAGGCAACCTTGGCTCTTTTATGACTGGTGGACTTCAACTCCCAGAATTCCTGAGCTAGCATTGAAGTCCACGAGTCATAAAAGAGCCAAGGTTGCCTACCCCTGGTTTAGTGAATGAGTTACAACAGTCCGGAAAAAAGTGACTAATGACCAGTCCTCATGCTTACAATTGTGGCAGTGTTCCCATGGTGATGTAATCAAAAATTGAGTGCTTGGTAACCAGCATGTATTTATGATGGTTGCAGTGTCTTCGTGTCACATGATCACCATTTGCGACCTTCCCAACTGGCTTCTGACAAGCAAAGTCAACGGGGAGGCTAAATTTGCTTAATGACCATGTGATTCACTTAACAGCTAGTGATTCACTTCATAATCATGGCAAAAAGGTCATAAAATTGGGTGTGAGTCACTTAACAAGAAACTCTGGCACCTTGCTAACTGCAGGTCCATCTTACCTAAACTGGTTCACTCAGTATATAGGGAACTACGCATTCCCCACCATTTGTGGAGATTAATTTCTCAGAAACTATTTTTCAAGTCATGTCTCGTAGCCTTGTAGAATATTCTCCCATGAGAAATAAGATTTGCTGCATCCCTTCTAATGTTTGGGAAGCTATTTGCGATGGGACTCTCCCAACGAGTGTTGGTTGAATTGATTGCCACTTCCCTTCTTGATTTATTTCACTTTGTGTATCTTATTCACTTAACTGGTATTATTTAGATTGGCTTTTTAAGATCGTCACTGTTATTGTTACCCCTTTATTGTTATAACCTTGATTCATTTTTTATTATACTATGGTTAATAGGTTTTTTTCCCCCAGTGCTTTGTAAACCGTTCTTTGCTTGGATCTGGTGGTATCCAAACTGAATGAGCAAACTGGTTGCCTGGTTTTGCATCACAAGCTCAGGCAGAGAAGAAATTGAGCCAAAAGTGGATAGGAATATCCATCTGATGTTTGATACTGACCTTTTGTTCCCTCTGGCATATTTTTGTTTCTCAAGCAGGAAGCTGCAGAAGGACACTGATCAGCTCCCTTCTGATAAGAGCTGTATTAATTTAGGCCAAGAACTAAATGTGATCCTTGATACATCACCCACCTCTGGCTTCTAGAAAACTTGTAGCAAATAGCAAGACAGCTTGCAAAAGCACTACAGAAAGCACAAAGTTAGGGTTGTAGGGCTGTATGTCACTGTTGACAGCACACAAAAAACAATAGTGTGCTCTCAAATTCCAGGCTTGAGGACCTACTGTTAAACAGCACAAATCAAGTTCCTGGTCCCTAAGGTTGAAAGGATGTGCTTGAAAAAAATGTTCAGTTGCAAACTGGGTTAAGATGTTCAGGGGCTTCAAAAATGTATGTAGTTCCTTGCTCTGTCTTCCATGAGTAAGAAAAACGGTGATGGATCTCATCAGGGATCATGCACAATAAAGGGAAATGTTCCTCCTTCACTTCTAAGCGGCAGAGAAACCCTAATTAGAGGATGAGCGAAAAGCTTCAGAAGATGGACAGGAAGAGGCCACAGAATGTTCAAGGCTCCCTACCCAGGCCAATGATCCCATCATCCCCCGCTGAAGTTAAAAGATGAGAAAGAGAAAAGCCTGATTCCTGAAGTTGTGGATGCTCCATCAATGGGATTTTTCAAATAAAGATTGGGCAGCCATTTGTCTCAGATGGTGTAAGATTTTTTTCACTGGGCAGGTAGGGTTGGACTAGAAGACCTCCACCGTCCCTCACAACCTTAGGATTCTGGGATTTATACAAAGATAAGAAGCCAGAATATGCCAATCAGGTACACTAAAAGCCAGTAGGTGCAGGCAGAGAGGCTGTTTTAGACATATGGGGAGGAAAACAGCTTTTTAAAAATACTGTACAGATGAAAAGCTATTTACCTACATTTTTTCAAGGAAATACAAGTAGTCCTCCACTTATGACTGCAATTGAGCCTGGCAGTTATGATTGTACAGTAGTTTATTATGGTCATAAAGTGGGTCATCATATGACTGACCCGATTTTGACTTTTTGCAGTGGGGGTTAAGTAAACCTAAAGGTCATTAAGCAAATGCGGTATTCGCTAAGCAAATCCCTTGTTTGCTACGGGTTGGTTTTTGCTGAAAACGGAAAGTAAACCCTGGTTTCCAGCAAAAATCCCATAAACTGCAACCACAGGAGCGTGGGATGCTGCAAACAGCTGTAAATGCAGACTGGCTGCCAAGCGTCCCAAATGTGGTCATGTGACGGGGGGGGGGGGAGAATAGCCATTGGAACTTTGGGGAACCAGGTTGTCAGTTTTGATGGTCCTGTCTTAAATTTGAATGGTTGCTAAGCAACCAGTTGTAAGTTGACTATCTGGAATGTGCTTACGGCAGGGGTCTCCAACCTTGGCAATGTTAAGACCTGTGGACTTCAACTCCCAGAATTCCCCAGCCAGCCCTGGGGAAGTTGAAGTCTTCTGGGAGTTGAAGTCCACAGGTCTTGACGTTGCCAAGGTTGGGGACCCCTGGCTTACGGGAAGAATTCTATAAAATAACAGAATACAACTGGGGGGAAAAAAGCGCCAGAAAACCAGTGTGGTATAGTGGTTTCAGTGCTCCTCCTCACCCACAGGGGCTCTCTGGAGGACTTGGGGCCAGACCCTCCCTCTCAGCCCAAGAACCAGGATAATTCAGGGATTAAGGCAGTGGTTCTCAACCTGTGGGTTGGGACCCCATTTGGGGTCTAACGACCATTTCACGGGGGTCGCCAAACAATCCAGTCCGCCATTTTTTCCCCCTTTTCCTTAGCTGTGCTACTCCCTTTTATTCTATTGGCTTTTGAAAGCCAATAGAATAGACTCTCTTGAATAGAGTCTAATTCTATTGGCTTTCAAAAGCCAATAGGAATTGTCCAGGCTGTCTCTGCCTGCTGAGCCTGCCAAAAGTCCCATTCTGCAAACGGTGCTGCACCAGTTGAGTAGTCCTCAACTTACAACCGGTTGAGTAGTCCTTGACTTACGACCGGTTGGGGGTCGCGGCATTAAAAAGGTTGAGAACCACTGGATTAAGGTGATGGACTAAGAGCAGGGACAGCCAGTCCTGTCTTCTCAGCCCATGAACCAATAAGGTGTATTGAGGAAAGGGCTGGACTAGGAGTAGGGAGACCAGGTTTAAGTCCCTTTTCAGCCTCAGAAGCTCATTGGCTGACTTTGGGCCAGCTCCTCCCTCTTGATGCAATCTACCTTGCTGAATTCTAGGCAAGCTATAAGACGAGTAAAACGTGTGAATTATAATTCCCAAGAGTGACATTACTAGATTACCAGGACATATTATCAGATAGTAAAAAGTCTTTTATTATTATTATCATCATAATCATCATCAGCATTATCATTATTATTATTAAGAAGGCTTTGAAGTTTAAAAAAAAAATAAAACTCTGGATACAATTTTCATAACTGTCAAGTCAGATCAACAAATATATATATATTTATATGTATATATTTCAGAACTTTAGACGTTGGATGGTTAGGGTCTGGTCCTTGCCCCCACCCAATGCCAAGCCCCTTTTCTTAAAAAATAAAATATATTTTAGTTCTTAAAATTTATTCAATAAAGTAACTATTTTCCTAGAAATTCCCTACATATACACAGAGGTAAAAAATAAACTTTAAAAAGTCCAACATAAAAAAGAGACTTTTTTGCGTGTGCGTATTATGCTGATATTTATTTTTCCTTCTTTGCCCTCCCTAAGGGAGCCTGCCTGACTTCTCCCTCCAGCTTATTGGTCCCCCTTGAGAGTTAATATCAATTTATATAATTTGGGGGACCAGCCAAGTAAGATAACACTTGTCTTGCCAACAACGAAAAATCATGTTCACGCTTTCTTTCTCTTCAGAACTGCATACAAAAAGAGTAAAGGAATAATAATAATAAGGAAGGAAGGAAAAGAAAGAAGGAAAGAAGGAAGCAAAGAAAGAAAGGAAGGAAGCAAAGAAAGGAAGGAAGGAAGGAAGGAAGGAAGGAAGAAAGAAAGAAAGAAAGAAAGAAAGAAAGAAAGAAAGAAAGAAAGAAAATCTTAAAAGTGCACATGGACTTTTGCTTGATTTATCTTTGCAAAAAGAAATACTGTTTGGGGGGAAAAGGGCATAAGGAACAGCAAACATTTAACCCAACCCGGCCTGTGCTTCTGGGGTTGAGAGTTAAAGCTATTCTGTAAACAATATTTGAACAGATATTTTTTTTTTGCCCAGCTCTGAAAGCTGGCTCTGTGTTTTGTCCTCTTACCAAGCACAAAATACAATTCAGCCCTTAGGTGTGTGGTATTCAAGTCCCAGAATTCTCAGCAGTGCTCATGACAGGGAATTCTGGGAGTTGAAACTGACACATCTGAAAGCTGCCCTAAATGGTGAAGACTCTATCTAATCTTCCCCTCCCACCACCATTATTATTTTCCCTCTCTCTACCTCAACGACGTATCTCCTTTCACCAGGCAAGGTTCAAAAGACATATTCCATTTCCCCTCCCACCCCTCCAGGTTCTTTCACAAGTTCTGATTTCCAAAAAAAGGTTGATATAAACAATTAGACGTTTGAAAAAAGCCATGTTCTTTGTTGTTCTTGTGGGTTTGTTTTGGAGGGAAAGGAAGTGTGTTTGTGTGTGTGTGTGTGGGGCAGTAAATGCATGGTGAGTCCCACCCACTCAGTGGCTATGAGAAAATATGGATGGCTTGCGTGGCTGGCGTGTGGCAGGCAGGGCACTGGGGCTCCACCCGGCCACAGATGCGCATGGCACACTCCATGCAGAAGAGGTTGTGGCCACAGGGCACGAGGGCAGCAATCACTTCGCTCTCAAAGCACACCATGCACTCGCGGGAATTCTTGCGAGCCCGTTCCGAACTGTTAGAATCAGTAGGCGAGCCGGAAGTGGCGGAAATGCTGCTTGGTAACGGGGAAGAGGAGGAGTAGCCGGTGCTGTTGGAGAAGGATGACATGGAGCCCTGGGCCGGCAGCCAGGACAGGGCACTGACTGGATCGCTCTGGATGCGCCGGGCCAAAGGATGCTCCAGAGCCACAGCAGGCTCTGGAAGGGTGGGGGAATGCCGAGGCGTGGCGGTGGTGCTGAGCATGCTGTTGCGTCTCTGAGCATTTCCGTTCACTGAGGAGGTGGAAGAACTGCTGAAGACCTGGAGAGGGTTATTGGGAGCCTCAAAGGGGGACCAGATGGTGGTTGGTGTGGTGAGGTCCAAGGCCAAGAAGTCAAACCCAAAATCACCGTCTTCAGAGCCCAGTCCGGGGGCTGGGGGTTCGCTGAAAGAGTAACTGCTGTTGCTGGAAACAAAGGAGCCCGTAGGGGGGCTTTCAGCCACATGGCCCCCGAAGTAAGGCTCGGTGGCCGAAGTAGCACTACCCGAGGAACCAAGGTTATCATTGCGTAAACTGGGCACAGTCCGTCGGGCAGGGTGAGGTGCTTTTGACCACAGGCTGGATGGATTGCCCCCCATCAAGTCGAGGCAAACGTCGGTGCCGTTGGAATGAAAGTCGTTGTTGATGTTGATGTCGATGAAGGAGCCCGTCCTCATGGTAATATGGGCCTCAATCTCCTCCCGCGCCCGGTCCACATTCTCCGGCATGCCCGTCACCTCAAAGACCGGTTCCTTGTCCCGGCTTGGGGTCACGATGTAGGTGTGTGTCTGTTGCTGGATGCGCTTGATGGTGGCTCCTTTTGGGCCCACCACTAGCCCGACCACGCGGTAAGGGACCCTTACTTGGATGGTGGTCTGCCCGGGGAGGTTTGGAGGCGCCAGAATGGAGCCAGCCATGCCGTTGACTTTGTTGCGAGTGGCCCGGATCACGGAGAAGTGCTCGGCAGCCGAAAGGATCTCTCGCTTGGCCATCTCCACGTCCTCTTTCCGCCCTGTCACAATAAAAATGGGTTCCTCTCCTCTCACCGGTGTTTTGATATAAGTGTTAGTTTTCGCTCTCAGGGCTTTGATCTTGCATCCTGAAAGACAGAAATATCGAAGATGAGAAAAACAAAAGGGACATGTCAGCTAGTGCAGAACTCTATTTATAAATCTTAGTCTTGCTTAGAAATATATCGCTGCATAAGAAATTGCACTGTCGAACAAAAACAGCTTTCCATAACAAGTAGATTTTCTAAGACTTACTCCAACCTGGGCCTTTCAGATGTAATGCACCCCAACTCCCAGAATCTCCTCAAAATCCTGGAGGTCACGTTTTTCCCTGTCCCTAAGCACTCCATTTGTAGCTACTAGGTAGTCCTCGGCTTACAACTGTTTTTCACATGACGATTGCAGCATCCCCATGGTCACATGATCAAAATTCAGATACTTGGCAACTGGCATGTACTTATGAGGGTTACAATATCCTGGGGTCATGTGATCAACTTTTACAACCTTCTGATGTGCAGAGTCAATGGGGAGGCCAGATACACTTAACAACTGTGTTACTAACTTAACAACTGCACTTAACAATGGTGGCAAGAAATATTATAAAATGGGCAATTAATAACTGTCTCAGCAACAGAAATCTGGGGCCCAGTTGTGGTTGCAAGTCGGGGACTACCTGTAGTGGGCCAAGCTGAAGTCCAGAGCACAGGACACAGTGAGGTTTTGATAGCAGAAGACTTCACCCCTTGGAGCCATAGATAATTTATTTATTTATTTATTTCTAAAATTTATATGCCTCCCAATCCCAAGGGACTCAGGGCGGCGTACAAAATTAAGACAATAATATGACAATAAAACAATAAAATAAATACATTCATACAGCCTGTCCGATCATATCCCGGCTCCCCCCCCCGGGGACATCAGCCCCAGGCCTGCTGGAACAGGAGAGTTTTAATGGCTTTCTTAAAGGCCGGCAGGGTGGGAGTAGTTCGAACCTCGGGGGGAAGTTGATTCCACCAGGTCGGAGCCACCACAGAAAAGGCCCTTCCCCGAGGGCCCGCCGGCCGATATTGTCTGGCCGACGGGACCTGAAGGAGGCCCAATCTGTGGGACCTCACCGGTCTCTGGGAACTGTGCAGCAGTATGCGGTCCTGTAAGTAACCTGGCCCTATGCCATGAAGGGCTTTAAAGGTGATAACCAACACCTTGAATTGCGTCCGAAGACCCACAGGAAGCCAGTGCAGCTCGCGGAGGATAGGTGACACGTGGGCGTACCTTGGCGCGCCCACAATCGCTCCCGCGGCTGCATTCTGAACCAACTGCAGCCTCCGAACGCTCTTCAAGGGTAGCCCCATGCAGAGCGCGTTACAGTAATCCAGTCTTGAGGTAACAAGGGCATGAGTGACCGTGAGTAAAGCCTCCCGGTCCAAATAAGGCCACAACTAGTGCACCAGGCGAACCTAGGCAAAGGTCCCCCTGGCCACAGCCGATAGATGTTGTTCCAAATTTAGCTGTGAGTCCAGGAGGACACCCAAGTTGCGTGCCTGCACTGATGGAGGTAAATTTACCCCCCCCCCCAGAACTAATGATGGACCATCCAGTTGACCTTTGGGAGGATGAAATGAAGGTTCTGCTGATGTTCCCAGGGGGACTGGACAATGGAGGCAGCCCTTGGCTGCTACTCAGTGGTACAGGTAGTCCTTGACTCACAATTATTCATATAGCACCCACCTCTGGCTTCTAGAAAACTTGTAGCAAATAGCACTACAAAAAGCATAAAGTTAGGGTTGTAGGGCTGTATGTCACTGTTGATAGCACACAAAAAACAATAGTGTGCTCTCAAATTCCGGGCTTGAGGACCTACTGTTAAACAGCACAAATCAAGTTCCTGGTCCCTAAGGTTGAAAAGATGTGCTTGAAAAAAATGTTCAGTTGCAAACTGGGTTAAGATGTTCAGGGGCTTCAGAAATGTATGTAGTTCCTTGCTTTGTCTTCCATGAGTAAGAAAAAAGGTGATGGATCTCATCAGGGATCATGCTCAATAAAGGGAAATGTTCCTCCCTCACTTCTAAGTGGCAGAGAAACCCTAATTAGAGGATGAGCGAAAAGCTTTAGAAGATGGACAGGTTATGAAATGGGACAAAACTCACTTAAAAACTGTCTCGCTTAGCAACATAAATTTTGGTCGTAAGTCAAGGATTATCTATATTGCAATCCTCTGGAAGAGGTGGAACTACCTCTTTCTCCTCTTACTATTTTAAAATAACTAGAGAGGTTAAGGGAAAAATACAGATTTTTAAGGCACCTCTTAACAACCCCTAATTCCACCCCCCCTTCTCCTCCATCTCTTTATTAAAGGAGGGGAGAATCAAGAGGTGAAATGCTCAAGTTCCTCTTAAGATAGCATTTCCAACGTTGGCAAGTTTGAGATTTGTGGACCCCAACTCCCAGAATTCCCCAGCCACCATGGGGAATTCCGACTTTCTTTGTCAGAAGCCATCTGGGAAGGTTGTAAATGGTGATTACATGACCCTGGGATGCTACAACTATTGTAAATACATACCGGTTTCCAAGAGCCCAAATTTTGATCGCATGGTTATGGGTATATTGCAATGGTCATAAATGCGATGACTAGTTGCAAGCCACTTTTTTCAGTGATATTGTAACTCTGAATGGTTGCTAAATGAATGGCTGTAAGTCATGAACAACCTCTATATCAGTGGTTCTCAACCTTTTTAATGCCGCGACCCCCCCAACCGGTCGTAAGTCGAGGACTACTCAACCGGTCGTAAGTTGAGGACTACTCAACTGGTGCAGCACCGTTTGCAGAATGGGACTTTTGGCGGGCTCAGCAGGTCAGAGACAGCCTGGACACTTCCTATTGGCTTTTGAAAGCCAATAGAATTAGACTCTATTCAAGAGAGTCTATTCTATTGGCTTTCAAAAGCCAATAGAATAAAAGAGAGTAGCACAGCTAAGAAAAAGGAGAAAAAAATGGCGGACTGCGTTGTTTGGCAACCCCCGTGAAATGGTCGTTCGACCCCAAATGGGGTCCCGACCCACAGGTTGAGAACCATTGCTCTATATGATAAGGACTAGAAACCTTTTGTTCTATTTTAACAGAAGGGGAGATTCTTAGGGAAGGGAAGCAAGGCTTACACATAGGTCTTAAAACCAGGGACAAATTCAAATGCAAAATTGTCAATGCAAAAGCTATAGGTTGTATGGAACAGAGTGAGGAATATGGGGCCCTATAGATTATGTTAAATGGCAGCTCTAATGATCACAGTCAGTGAGAAAAATGTTGGATGTGATGGTTCAGCAGCATGTGGAGAGGTACATGTTCCACCCCTAAAGAAACTAGATGTTCATTAACTTTAAAGCCTATTTTTAAAAGATTCCTGGATGGTTCAAGAAAGCATCTCAACTCCCTCTCTTCCTAGAATAGGCTGTAGATCAGGGGTCCACAACCTGTGGGTCGCGGCACACTACCGGGCCATGGCCACTTGAAGGGATGGCCAGTGCACGCACACACACACACGCACTCATCTCCCCCACACTCGCGCTAGTGCCGCCCTGAGCATCCCACTAGTGCTAGCACCACCCTGCCCCAAGCATCCCACCAGAACTAGCACCGCTCTGAGAATCCCACCGGTGCTAGCGCTGCCCCCGAAGTCTCACAGGCACTAATGCTGTCCTGACCACCCCACCGCTGCTAGCTCTGCCCCGCACCCAAGCATCCCACCGGCACTAGTGCCACCCATAGCGTCTTGCTGCGCAGCCCCATTTGCACATGTGCATGTCCTCGCATGTGGCTAGTTGTGTGTGTGCATGCACTTGTGTGCAACCCATTTGTGCGCGCACACTTATCGGTGCCTGCCTGCTTTTCCGGGCCGCCAAACCAAAAAGGTTGGAGACCTCTGCTGTAGATGACTATGGGCTATTTTTAAAGAATCTATCTTTTTTTGTGTGCCCCTCCCTATCTGTTTGGAGTTATTTATCTGAACTATTTTTGAGCATTTGGCATTAGAAAGGAATGAAACTGGATTTTAGTATTGTATAACCCAGGCAAGTTGGAGGATCTGTTTTAAGAAAAACCCGGGTCTAGTACCTAGAGATCAAACCAAGTAGTTAAACGCCTCAAAGCAATTTGGAAGAGGTTAGAATAGAAAATGGAAAATAAACCCTTTTCCTGCTTTGCTGCTGGTCTTTGGCATCTAGTACTGCAGCGGTCCCCAACCTGTACAGCTACACTGGTGCAAGTGGTGGGCGCGTATGCCTTCCACTCTCACAAACGGAGCTTTAGGTGTGAGCGGAGGGCACTTGCGCTCACGCACGAAGCTCCACTCACTCGACGGGTGGATGCTTGTGGAGTGTCGTGCAAATGCAAGGATCCACCGCTTGTGTGAGTAGAGCTTCGTGCTCACGCACACACCCATCACTTGCACGTCCTGGTTTCAAACAGGCCGTGGCCTGGTAATGGGAGTAAATAGATACTCCTCGACGTATAACCATTTATTTAACGACCATTTGAAGTTGCAGTGGCACTGAAAAAAAGGACTTACAATCAGCCCTTGCATTTTATAACCACAGTCAAAACCATAACCACGTGATCAAAATTGGGGCACTTGACAACTGACAGGTGCCCCAATTACAACAGTGGCAGCATCCACGAGATCATGTGATCGTAATTTGTGACCTTCCAAGCTGGTTTCTGTCAAAGTCAGTGGTGGATCCTGGATTTGCTTAACAATTGTCCGATTCAGTTAGCAACTGCAGTGATTCACTTAACAGCTGTGCCAAAAGTCCGTAAAATTGAGTGTGACTCACTTAACAGCCACCTTCCTTACCTACAGAAATTCTGCTCCCAAATGTGGCCGCAATTTGAGGACTGCCTCTATTGCTCCTGTACACAGAAGCTGCACTCAACTGTCAATATGATGAAATTTTATTGGTCATAAATAAAAACATAGACCCCCCATATAAAATGCTGAGCCTCACAATGTTAATTTATCCTAAAAATCACTGCTGACACAAAAGCATTATGAAGATGCACAAAGGGCACTTTTCAGCCATTCAGATTGGGAAAAAC